CCTTGCTCCTCGCTCCACGCTCCTCGCTCCTCCCCCTCCTCCTTCTCCTCCTCCTTCTCCTCCTCCTCCTTCTCCTCCTCTTCCTCCTCCTCCTCCTCCTCCTCCTCCTCTTCCCTCCTCCTCCTCCTCCTCCTCCTCCTCCTCCTCCTCCTCCTCCTCCTCTGTCCCTCCCTCCCCCCCTCCTCCTCCTCCACCTCCTCCCCCTGCCCCTTCTCCTCCTCTTCCTCCTCCGCCTCCTTATATGACCCATCCTCCTCCCCCAATCTCCCCCCCTTCCTCCTCATCCCGTCCTCCTCCACCTCCTTCCCCTCCTGCCCCTCACCGTGCTGCAAACTGGGACACAAAAAGATGGAGCGGCTGGGCTGGGCTTTGCGGCAGCCGGATGACAGGGTACAGTACTTTTACGACGGAGGACCTCTGCTGGCGGAGCCGCCGCCGGTTCCGCTTTCACCCCACCGGCATCCCGCCGCAAGCGAAGCCCTTTCTGGAACGCCCCACCCGGATTGCTATCTTAAGGATCCGCCCTCTCAGGTTGGACTCGCGGCAGATAGCGCTCGTGACGTGTCCCAGACCCCTCCCCCCTCCCCTCTGGCCACGCAACGATTCGCGCTGGCGCCGTCTAGGAGCTAGCCATACTCTTGCAAGCATTGCCCGACGGCGCTGGTCGTGACGTGACCGGCCCCCTCACCCCCCCGGGTCATGCCCGTAATTCGGTACGAAATGGGTCCGGAAAGAACGGGTACGAAGACCGACAGCATTTCCTCATCATTGTGAGCAGAACTCGCTGTCGGTGTCGCCGCGGAGATTGTCCATTCGAGACAGAAGGTCGCCTGCCGAACAGCTACCGCTGTCGCTTTTGGACAACATTTGCTGTGGGGCATCGTCCTCTTTTTTTCCGTGCCCATTTCGGGGGTCCAACCTTCTCGCGGCGATTCAACGCAGTCTCCTGGGTGTCCGTTCTAAGCCACCCTCTTCGGCGGCAAGGCATGGTAGCCACCCGTGCCATCTCGCTGGGTCTGACGAATCGACGCTCACCGACGCGAGTCGACACTAAATCGACAATCAGCGACGCCAGGTCGGGGCCCTCTACCAGAGATCCGAGGTCGTGACTTTTTCAATGCGCGGACGCCCGAAATCTCGACCCATTCCCCAGGACGGGTTTTTCATCCTCAGTCGTTTTATGACGGTCCCTGACTACATACCAGACCACCCCAACCCAACCCGAAGGCCCGAATTCGACCCGAATTTCGGGTTGGGGGGGGTACGGATTCCATGTGTTTTTTAGATGTTCCCCGACCCCCCCCCCCTGGAAATCGAGGGTAAATCTGAGCCTTCGGGTTGGGTTGGGGTGGTTTGGTGGGTGGTGAAGGACGGGTCTTTCGTCCCCAGTCGTTTTTTGACGGTCCCGGGGCCCAGCCAGGGCCCCCCAGAGGCCGAACATCTAGAAAAACCTCCGTCTTGCTTTGATTCAAGACGTTGGATCTCTGGGCTCGTCGATCACCAGACGCTACTCCTCCTCCTCCTCCCTATCCTCCTCCTCCTCCTCCTCCTCCTCCTCCTCCTCCTCCTCCTCCTCCTCCTCCTCCTCCTCCTCCTCCTCCTCCTCCTCCTCCTCCTCCTCCTAGTGCACGCCAGTGCACTCTGAAGGCTCCATGCCTTGCTGCCGAACCCTGCGCCGGGGCCCAGAAGGCCGCCGAGCGGGCTCGAGATCGAGTCCGCCCCGGACAGCGTGCCCAGCAGCAGGCCACTGCCTCGCACATCGCCCCCGCCCGCCCCCCTGCGGGGGCCGCCGGCAACAGATGCTCGCCCTCTTCGAGCTCCCCGATGTGCCTCGAGAGGCCACCGCGCCATGCTGGGAGCCTCTCTGGCCATGGTCGGGCACTTCTGCTCAGGGTGCCGCGGCGGCGGCCTCGGCGACACGCTATTCCGTGCAAGTGGACAGCGTGTCGATCCGCTGCGCGGGGCGGGAGGCGCGGAAAGGGTCGAGACATCGACCTCTGGGAACGGGGACGTGGATAACATGCCGCGCCGAGGCGTGGTGGGCCGGAGCTGGCGGAGCGGCACGCCCTCCAGCAGTTCCCGACCGTACCTCGGCCCAACCCTCTCCAGAGGTCCCCGTCATCTTCCGGGGGCTGGGCTATCAGATCATCTGCCGCTGCACAACAACACACTGCAACATCGAGACAGATCACAACCAGAGCCCCAGGTCTCACTCTTCTGGTGCGTTTCTTGGAGCTGGATCGACATGTAAGGGTCCGGGGGCCCGAGAGCGGGCGAACACGCCCCGTGCGAGAGCGTTGCAGCGCCCGGATCTGATGGGGCGGACGCCGAGGGAGAGCCTCCCGTGACAGCGGGCCCTGCCTTCCCCCTTGCCCCTCTCAGCTCTTCCCTTCTTGCCCTCTCCCCCCGCCCCTGGCCCCTCTCCCCCCTCGCCCCCACCAGCGGGGCCCCAGGATTGAGGTGCAAGGCGGCGGGCCTGGACATCAACTCAGACATGATGCCATTGAGAACACGAATCTGATCCAGGCCCGCTAGAGAACACGAATCTGATCCAGGCCCGCTACCTTTGCCGCTTTCCGTCCCCTGCGCGTGCTCTCATGCTCGGAACCTTCCCGTGCAATAGCGCTGCCTGCGCTGCTGCATGATGGCCCTGCTGAGGGCCTTGAGGGCCTTGCAGGGGAAGAGGAACGGAAGGAGGATGAGCTGCAGCGGGACACGGGTGAGGATGAGGTGGAGGATGAGGAGGATTAGGAAAAAGGATGAGGAGGATGAGGTGGAGGATGAGGAAAAAGGATGAGGAAATGAAGGAGGATGAGGTGGAGGATGAGGAGGGTGAGGAAGAAGAAAGGCGTGGGCGTGGTGTACGCCGCCTGGTCGTCGTAGGGCGAGAGGGCCATGCGGCAAGCACGCATCACGCTCATCCGCCCCTCCCCTTCCTCCTTCCACTCCCCTTCCCTTCCAATCTCTCAGTACGAGTACTGCTCTCCTCCTTTCCGGGATCCAGCCCAAGAATGGTAGCTTTTCTTCTGCATGTTTTTGCTTTAGCGCAGAAGGCTGTAGCACTTCAAAAGGTGCGTGTGTGCGTGTGTATGTGCGTGTGTGTGCTCAATATGTCTGAACCGTCGGGACAACGTTGATGTTTCAATGAACCCGGCGCGACCCCCAATTAGGGGAGCGTTTCCTCTTGTATGGGCGCATTGCTTGGCATTGCTTAGCAGAGCTTAGCGCTGCTTTGCATTGCTTGGCGTTGCTTGCGATTGCTCGGCAGTGTTTGGCTGCGCTTAGCATTGTCTTGCATTGACTGGCATTCACTGGCACAGCTTGGCGTTGTGTGGCATGCCGTTGCATGTATTGGCATCGCTCTGCACTGCTTGGCATTGCTTGACATTGCCTTGCAAGGCCTGGGAACCCGAAGCTCGAGACCACGGAACCCCGAGGAAACCAAGCACGGAGCAAGACTTAAGCCGGGCGTGTCCCCCTACAGGGAGATTTCCGACGAACAAGAAAGATATCCCCAAAATAATCAAACAATAATGCAACAATAGTCTGGGGACTATTTTTGAAGTATCTTTTTGCATTTGTTCTTGTATTTTTGGAGTATTTTGAATTTTGCGTCGAACATCCTGTAGGGGGACAGGCCCGACTGAAAGCAAGACTGGGAAACCTGGGGGACCCGAGCTGGCCTTCGGCCCACCCCGCCACCGCGCCCAGGAGGTCCCAGGGCAGAGGCCCCTCGGAGCCCTCGTGGCCCCGTTCTGGTGCGCGAGTGGCTCCGAGAAAAGTGTGTGGGAAGCGCCGGGGAACCGCGAGAGGCACTCCACTCCTGACTACCTACCAGACCACCCCAACCCAACCCGAAGACCCGAATTTCGGGTTGGGGGGGTACGGGTTCCATATGTGTTTTCTCGATGTTCCCCGACCACCCCCCCACTCGAAATGGAGGTCAATTTGATGCCTTCGGGTTGGGTTGGGGTGGTTTGGTGGGTGATGAACTCCAGGAACCCTGGAACATTCGAGAATTTGGGGGTCCGGCCCTTTGCGGCTGAATCCTGAGAGCTGCAGGCCACTGGGGCTTGAGGCACCGGGGGCGGGGAACCCGAGGATCCTGGGGAACCCGAGGAACCTCGGGGCAACGGGCGAAGCAACAACAGGAGGCACCAACCTTTGGCCAAGTAGGAACCCCTTAGGCAAGCCTACTTGAGACAAAAATATTGTTCCTGCTTGAGCGTTGGCTTCATTTTACAATTGGCGCTGCGCTCCCGTCGTTCAGAATGAAACGACACTCTCGCCACAGCGTGGACTCCATTTCTGGATCCGAATCCTTCCTCATCTTTGTCGCCCGCATGCTCCCCCCCACTGCTCCTTCAGCTCCTCCCACTCCTGCTCATGCTGTTGCTGCTGCTGCTGTTCCTCCTCGCCCTCACCTTTCCTCATGCTCCTCCGTCCTTTTGCGGATTCCAGAATGGCGGATAGAGAGAAACATGCGGCGCAATGGGAAGAAATGGGTGCAAGGGTAGGGCGTCAGATATGGCGCGAGCGCACCTAGCTTGCCTCCCCCCTCTCCTCCCCCCCTCCGCACCCCCCTCCTTCTCCTCCCCCCCGCTCGCCGCTGGGCTGGGCCTCCCATCGCTGGGCTCCGACCCCTCCCCGCCCTCCCTTTTCATCGACTACACGCAAGCGTGACCCTGGGTAAGACTGACCTTTGGTGCGTTGCTTGTTGGTGGCCACGGGGGGGCCAAAACACAAGCGCGCAAGACGCTACTGCCGAATCGCGTTCGGCGATCGGGGGACCCCAGTGTGCCCGCACCGAGGGCCACTCTGGCGCACGGCCACTCTGACGCATAGTCGAGCTCCACTGCCGCCCCCCCTCCCCCGCGCGTGCGCGTCCTCCGCGCGCAAGGGCTTACACTCGGTGCCGTCCCTCCGCTCCCACTTGGGACCCTCCCCGAGCCCCTCCCCTCCTTTCGCCTGTCGCCCCCCCTCCCCCGCGCGTGCGCGTCCTCCGCGCGGAAGGGCTTCCACTCGGTGCCGTCCCTCCACTCCCACTTGGGGCCCTCTCGGCCGCGGGAGCCGAGGGAGATGGGGGCGGGGGGAGACGGGCACGCGCCGCAGGAGACGAGCGGTACGAGAGGGGGAGGGCGCAGGAGGCAGAAGGCACAGCAGAAGCGTACACGCGGCAATGCCCGTCTCGGCCACACGCAAGAGTGACCATGGGCAAGCGTGACCTTTGCTGCGCGGATGAAAGGGGCACGCGGCACACGATGGCCAAATCCAAGCGCGCAAACAGCGGCCATTGCATCGCGCTCAGCGATCGGGGGGACCTTGACGAGCCCGCACCCAAAGTCACTCCGGCGAAAGGTCACTCTTACATCTAGTCGAACGTCGCTGTAAGATATAAAGAGGCACATCGGCCGCCGGTACTATGCTCCGCAAGGTGCCCCAGGGTCCCGCTGGGGCCCAGGGGGCTCGGGGGAAGGAAATCCCACCAGCCCGGTGGGCGGAGGTGGTCTGACCGAATTCGCTCTTCCAAGACCCCTCTTCACTCTGGGGGGGGATGCACTCCCGCGAGCGGTCAGGGCGCCCAGGGTGGGCCCAAATGGCTCCAAGAGGGCACCCGACGCTTCAAGATGGCATCCAAGATGGCTCAAGACAGCCGTCGATGGTTCAGGATGGCCTCCGGCATGCCTCCAAGATGCCCCAAGAGGATCACAAGACAGCTCCAAGTATTCTCAGACCCCCACAGCAGAGCTTCCCCCATGAGGCCAATATCCATCCGACACCCGAGGAGAATCCAGGGTCGCTACGTTCTCGCCTTTTTGGTTTCCGAAGCGATTGTTGACGCCTCGGAGTCTTGCCGTCGCTCGGACGTCCATTTCCCGTGCATTGTTCGATTTCGTGCGTGTTTTTTTTCCTCGATGGTCCAGGATGGCCCTCGATGGTTCTCGCCGAGAAAAAATGCACACGTCCGAGCGATGCCAAGAGAGTGGCCCCATGATGGCCAGAAACGGCCCCAAGAGAGGTCAGAAAGGTCGACCCGAGACTGCCCCACGACCACCCAAGAGCGCCCCAAGAGGGCCCCAAGAAGACTCCAGAAGGCAGTTTTGATGGGCCCAGAAAACTTGCCGTCGCTCGGACGTCCATTTCCCGTGCATGTTTCGACCTCGTGCGTGTTTTTGTTGCTCGATCGTCCAGGATGGTCCTCGATGGTTCTCGCCGAGGAAAAAATGCACACGTCCGAGCGATGCCAAGAAAAGGGGGAGTGGGGGAGCAACATTGGAGACCCCCCCTGTTTTGATCAACGCCCTCCAAGATGGCCCCGAGAGCAGGGCTCCCACAGAGTCAGCCTCCTCCTCCTCCTCCTCCTCCTCCTCTTCTCCGTCCTCTTCCTTCTCGCTCTCCTCTTCGTCCTCCTCCCGATCGTCATTCTCATCCTCGTCCTCCTCCTCGTTCTGGTTCCCGTCCTGGGTCTGATCAAGCTAATACAAAGCTTGGTGCACTGCATGTTTCTACATTGCTGTCCGGGTCAAGACAACTCGCCTGGGCATCATGTCTGGTTGGGCTGGTGGGGTGAAGATTTTCTGTGGGGCACCAGCTGGCAGGCCTATGTTTGATTCGACGTGCCCGCTGCAGGACGGAGAGAGGTGGAGGAAACGTCGAAGTGTTCCCCGTCGGTTTCTTCGCAATCAGCCTGGGGCAGCAAGTCTTGTCAGCGTCGCGATGCTGCTGAACGCTGTGCTAGTTCAGCGGTTTTCATACCAGACGTATTGTGAAGGGGGGGAGCAGATGACCAGGAAGGGCAAATATCATCCTCCCTCGCTCGTCCTCCCTCCTCCGCCCGTTGTTTGCACCCGCGCTGTTGGGTGCAAGTCGGCCCCTCGAGCATGGCCAACAAGCTTCCAAATGGTTCCTCCGCCATCTGTTCGCCTCCTCCTGCTCTCCCCCCTGCTTCTCCTCCACTGCACTCCCCTGTGTGATGACCTTCCCCTTCCCGCTCCATCCGAATCAAAAAACCCCACCATTCAAGGCTGGGCTCACGGCGATGTTGCTTAACGGTGATGCTGGGAACCCGACTGCAGGAATTCACGAACCACACCTTCCTAGACTTCCGACCTGCGACTGCATCGAACGAACACGACGCAAGGAACTGTAGGAAAGCGCGAAATGCGCGTTCCCACAATACAGAAACCTGCATCGCCGTTGGCCCGCACACGGATCGGGCCGGGCGAAAGGGGGGGATAGCAAAGAGGGGGGTTGAGAATCAGCTCGCGTAGCTGATTTTCCCTGCGCCTCCCGGCGCCGGGAGGCGCCCATGTATCGAAGAATGGGTCCGGCGGCGGGGCCGAAACCGGCTGCATGCAGCAGATGCCGTAACCCCCCCTTTCCCTATCCCCCCTCCTTTTGTTCGTCCCGAACGGACCAGACCATCATCAAACCATCCTCCTCCTCCTCCTCCTCCTCCTCCTCCTCCTCCTCCTCCTCCTCCCCCTCTCCCCGACCCCCCCCTTTGGCTTCTCGAGTACGGACTTTGCGCTCTGCGAGTGCGCTGCTCTCGGCCACGAGGTGGCTCCAGGACTGTGCGGGCCAGCGTCGGCGACACCAGTCGAGCACGAGCTTAGGGCGCGGGCCGCCTCCCCAGGCAGCAGTAAGACAGTTGTCGCCTCTCCCTCCTCCTCCTCGTCCTCCTCCTCCTCGTGCTCCTCCTCCTCCAGCTCCTCGTCCTCCTCCTCGTCGTCCTCCTCCTCCTTGTCCTCCTCCTCCTTATCCTCCTCGGCTCATCTGAATGAAGCGGCCAACCAAATACGCCCCCGCTCTCCTCCCAAAGATCTGGACGAGAAGTGAAAGCGATTCCCTGCGCAAGGGCCATACAGTCGGACCCAGGCCACAAGAGGATCCCTCAAGAACATGAGAACCTCCGTCGGTCAACACAAAGATAACATCTAAGGGGACCCTGCAAGGTATGCACAAAAGAACATCAAACACATTCTAAGAACGCTAGGGATCCCTCCCCGAACCGACCTCAATCTTATACATTGGTCAGACAGTATATCAAACAACAACTAACTGCATCATGATGACAAACTGTCGGAGGTTTGAGTGGATTTCTTGGATCGGCGCTGGAGCGCGCCAAGAGCGGCCTCGGAGGCGCCAGGCAAGGGGGTCCAGCGCCGATCAAAGAACTACGCGTGGGCCTCACATCAACAGACAAGGCCCGTGCCTTCTTAGAAGCAGGGGTGCTTCTAAGCAGCCTTACCCCCTCTGCGCGCGGCTGAATTACGACGGCCCTGACTTCCGTGAGGGGACGTAGGGTTCGGGTTCGAGGGCCTCGGGTGGGCCTGACGGGGCCGTCGGGAGAGCGACGAGACCCAATCCGAAACTAGACGCGAATTCGAGCGATCCAGGATCATCCTCCCCTCTAGCCCGAGCCGAGATCGCTTGAGAGGGGGGGCCTCAGGGGGGGACCAGCTCAGAGGCCCCCGACAGCGAATCCGCGCGCTCCTGGGCAAGGGTGGGCTATCGACTATCAGGCCCCCGTCGGCGATCAACGGGCGATTGAGGGTCGATGTGCACTCCCCTGAGCTTATATAACCTCCCCGAACAATGCCACTGAATTTCGCTCGACTCGAAATCTTTCCCCTCCGGGGATCACGGCGGCCCTGCCTCCAGTAAAGTGGCCCAGGAGGACACAGATGCATCGACACAAATGCTAGGATTCTCAAACCTTCTCCAAGATATCCTGGATGTTCCTCTCCCCCCTCCATCTCTAGCATCTCCCCACCCTACAATGAACATCAACGTTTACCCGTGTCTGTGCCTGTTATTCCATCCTGATCCAGGATCGGCCGCGCCAGGGACTTCGTCGTCGTCGTTGTCGTCATCGTCGTCGTCTTCGTCTTCGTCTTCGTCGTCGTCGTCGTCGTCCCCCTTTAGGGTCGGCGGCAACGGCCGCAAGGCCTTCGCAATCAGCGACTTTGGCCGACGACGACGACGACGAGAACAACGCTGTCGCCGGCCACGACGACGACGCCGACGACTACGCCGACGACGACCACGGAAACGACCACGGCGACGACGGCCGTGTCTGTGCCAGAATTGGCCGCGCGCGGCCACCTGCTGGCCGGGGCTGCGCGGGCCCCGCCAGGCGGCTGAACGCGCGCTCCAGCGCGCGCCTCCGCCCCCTCCCCCTCCTCCTCCTCCTCCTCCTCCTCCTCCTCCTCTTCCTGCTCCTCCTCCTCCTCCTCCTCCTCCTCCTCCTCCTCCTCCTCCTCCTCCTCCTCCTCCCCCCACCTCTCCGCGCGCCTCTGTCGGGTCGTCTCTTCGCCGTTGCTTCTCGCCCTCCCTTGCAAGGAGTGCCTATGCCGACTCTGGGGGCACCAGCACTCTGGGCACCGATGCCGCTGCTCCCCAGACCTCTCCCGGGGTGCGTTCGGATCCGCATCTCGGGGCGGATCTGGCGGTGGCGACGAGGGCCTCCCGGGAGGCCCAGAGAGGCGAAACCGCGGCCGGGCTGGCAGTCAGGGTGCTCCTCGTTCCCTCCTCCGACGTTCTGCCCGGCGCCCCCGACTATCCTGGAGGCAGAGGACCCTCCTCCTCCTCCTCCTCCTCCTCCTCCTCCTCCTCCTCCTCCTCTTCCTGCTCCTCCTCCTCCTCCTCCCCCTCCTCCTCCTCCTCCTGCTGCTGCTCCTCCTCCTCCTCCTCCTCCTTTTCCTCCTCCTCCTCCTCCTCCTCCTCCTCCTCCTCCTTCTCCCCCGAGCGCCCTCGCCAGCGAGGGCAGCGCCGCGGCGGCAGGGCGCGCCTCGGCCTCCACCTTGGCCTTCTTCAGCGGCGGGCCCTGGCGGCGGGCATCCACGGGCGGGCGCCGAGGCCGCGCCCTCCCGACAGCAGGTGCTCGGCGGACGGCCCATGGCCCTAGGCCGCGAGCTCGGCGGGCCCCGGCGAGCGGGGGGCAGAACCCAGGGGTTCGCACAGCTCCAGCCCTGACCTTCCAGGAGGGCTAAACAATCGCACCCGATTTAAGAACCTATCCCGTCCAATGAGCCCGCAGTGAGCCTGCGAGAGGCCGCCGAAGAGAGTCGCAGGACGGGAGGAGGAACACGGACAGAACATTCTAGCTCTCCGCCCCCAGATACCCCCAGGAAGCGCGAACAGGCTCCGAAATCCCCCAAGGAGGCTCCGAAAGGCCCCCGCGACGCTCCGAGCGGCCCCCTAAAAACCTCAAGCCTGCCTCCGAAGGAGGAGCCTTTTTTGATTTGCGCGCGGGTGATCGTCTGCCGAACACTCCTGCCCGTGGCGCCGAAACGACGAGCGAGGGGCCCGAAGAAGGGCCGAAAGAAGCGAGGGACGGACCAGGACCCGAACAGAGCCGAGCGAGGGACCGACCCGAGCAAAAAGGGACAACGAAAACTCGAGGGCCCGAGACACGCGATGCTGGCAAGACTGGTGAAACAATTTGAAGCCCGCGTCCTGGCTCCTGGGCTTCCAGCCTCAACCTGCCAGGCAGCACATTATACAACAGACCAGCAAGGCGGCGGAGAGCCCTTTCCTCTCTTCGCGAGCCTGGGCTGGGGGGGGGGGGCAAAAGGAGCACATAAAGGATGAGTGGGCGCAGGCGGTGCGGGTGCCTGCTTCTCAGCGCCTCTGTACCCACTCATCCTAAGCCTAGCCTATGTCCGACTGTCCGACTGTAGGGAGAAAGCATAGACAGAGAGGCTGCACAGAAAACCCCACGCGGCGGGCGGGCAAGAGTCTTCTCTCTTTGCGAGCCTGGCCAGGGGAGGAATGACAAGAGCACAGAAGGGATAAGTGGGCGCAGGCGGAACGGGTGCCTGCTTCTCAGCGCCTCTGTACCCACTTATCCCAAGCCTATCCTACACTTCGACTGTCCGACTGTCCGACTGTAGAGAGAAGGAAGCACATACAGAGAGGCGTGCACAGCTATCCCCGCGGGGCGGGCAGGCAAGAGTCTTCTCTTTGCGAGCCTGGCCAGGGGAGGAATGACAAAAACACAGACGGGATAAGTGGGCGCAGGCGGAACGGGCGCCTGCTTCTCAGCGCCTCTGTACCCACTTATCCCAAGCCTACCCTACTTCCTGGAGACTGTCCTCTGTGGCGGCCAGGAAGGGGAGTACTGCAGAACGACACTTCTGGCGGCTGGTGTCGGGGATCCGAATAGTTCTGCCAGCATCAGACAGACGAGACAGACCAGATATCCCTAGGCGTGCCCGTGCGGCTCGGTGGGCAGCACACACACCAGAACCGTTACATCCACCCCACCTCCGAAATATACACGAGAAATCTACGGGGCCTCTAGAAGCCATGCAGGATCAAACAATGCCTGAAAATTAAAGACATCGTGAGGGGCAGGAAAGGCATCTATAACGTTGACATTGTCAACCGCAGTGACCTCACCGACTGGTTGACCAATGCAGGGGTCACGACCATCACACATGCGTCGAAGCCGTGAGATGGTGCCAGAGGCCCGAGGGGGCCCAGTGCATAATTTAGTTAAACCAACTGCTTTCTTGCACGAGTAGCGGCCGCATCGTCGACAAAATATGATATTATTCAGCCGCCTGGGCACGTGCCCACCGCCAGTGGGAGAAGAACACTGTGTACGCAATAAATAGCTCCTGGAAAATGAACTAGCCCAACAATTCAAGCATCGAAACCGGCCCGCCGAGGGGTCCCAGAAGTGCTCATGCAATGCCCCAGAGGAGGCACCAGAGAGGACTAGGGATGGGGCCGTGGGGGCGGGGGACTCATCAGAATCCGCCACCCAAACCTTTTTGGGCACGTTCTTGAAAATCCATGCTATACAATGCCCGATATACACAGCAAGATTGCGCACAAGCAATCCAGAGCGCTTGACACTGTCGTGCAAGACCGTGTCCAGTGTGTGTAGGTCAGCACCTAGGTTAGCAAGTCTGTCCGCTTGCTTATTACCAGCAGAGGTAGAATGGCCACGAACCTTGGTGACCTTAATGAAATGATACCCAATATCTGAAGCCGCACGGTGGACACGGACCCACAAGGATGCGTGAGTGGCCCATCCGTGCGTGGTAGCTTCATACCCCAATGGCCATCCGTCCACAACGCACTGGGCATCAGTGACAAACTCATAGCAGTCAGAGGGGGCAGCATGGGTTAGGAAAAATAAAAACGCATAAAGCTCAGCCCCTGAGACATCCTGGGTGAGAAAGGGATATGCGCCATATGCGCCAGCATTAAGCCGAAGCCGATCGTTGGCGATGGCCTCTCCGAAAACATTGCGACTACGCGGGGCAAATGAGCATGCGCCCCGTCCACAGCGGAGAGTGAGCGGCGAGGGGCCATGCTTTCCCGAGCCGTCTCCAAACGCGGGCGACGAGAAGAAGGGGCCGTCTGCGGCTCCTTCCCAGACAGGGTCTGGAACAGGTGGTGCGAGCAGGGAGCAATAGCGAGGGTCGGGAACCAAGGCAGTGGTCCAGACAGGGTTCTCGCGGTACTGCTCTATGCAACGGGTGAGGGCTGGAGTCGGGCCGAACCAACGACGGAACTCCACAAGCCCATCACGCTCATACAGGGTGTGAAACACGGGGTCAGAGGGGGCGGCCTGGCAAATGGGGCACACAGGTTTAAAGTAAATGCCCCCATATAAAAAGGTCCTCAAAGCACGCTGCTGGAGGACACCCCATCCTTCAGTCTTTTTAGACAAAAGGGAAAGAAGAGGGGGAAGAAAGGGGGGGCCAGACAGGTGACTGAAGGATGGGTGACGCTCAGAGGCCTGTTTCCAGGACCAGACAGACGCGTCGCGAATCACTCGTGCCACCACTTCACGAGGGGAAGTAGACGAAATACCAACGTCGGTTCCAAGAGAAGTACGCCATATTGTAGGCGAAACCGCAGACCACCCAATTCTACGCATAGTGGCAACCAAAATTTGTCCTGGGCCCTGCAATTCAGTCCACGGGGTATCTGGCGTCACCTTGGCGTAGGCAAACTGGACAACTTGATCTATCATTCCGACAGGAAGAAGAGAGTCCCATCTAGAGACAGTCCAGAGACGAATAACCTCAGCATGAGCATCGATAGCAGGATCGGCAACACCATGCAACGCCAAATCCATCGTGACAGACCTACGCTTACCTGTGCCAAGACCAGCGTGGTATATAGCACGGACCTGACGAATCTGGTGAGTAGATAGACCGACGACGCCAATGCCGTACATGACAGTGGGCCGCAAGTTAGTGTTTACAATACCTGCTACCTTTGCACCAGCCTTCTTTATCTTCCATAGGCGACGGGCCTTAAACCTGGCCTTTTTCAATCGGCCAGTAAGAACAGGACGAGAACGACGCCCCTGACGTAGCTGATAGTCAATCCCGAGGTTTCGACACGAGAACTTGACTGCACCAGCGAGACGAGGAGTTTCAGCTGCAATGCTCTGAGCCAACTGGGGGTCGGTAGCCAAGAGCACGATTTTCTTCTCGGAGAGCGGTGAACATGCCGAGAAGGTAAGCTGGCTCATCAAAAGGTGCGACGCATCGGGACCGATTTTGAGCAACTCCCCCTCCGAGCCTATCCCCAGGACCTGGGCGTCGTCGGCGACGAGGCCGAGGTGCATATTTGGATAAGACTGACGAAACGAATCCAACTCGGGCATCAATAAAATACGCATAACAGGTCGGCAAAAGAGCAACCTGCTACAATAGTCTTGCTAGCTCTGACCCACTCCCCAACAATTCGCCGCAACGTGACAACACGTGGGGAACGATACAGAGACAGGAAAACCCTCAAGAGTGCTGGATGAAAACCAAACTCACTAGCACGTCTTATGAGAAGTTTGTGGCGAACCTGCTCAAATGCCCTGGATGTCGAGCAAAAATGCAAACACCGACAAACCTTTGGCAGATGCTAACTCCGTGAGCACGCCCATGCGCCACGCACATGCCTGGCAGGAATGACCGCGCACACCATACACGTACGGACGAGGATGCAATCGCGCCCACATAGCACCATACGCGTGCCTGAAGAACCGAGAGAACGTGCGCACACACGTCGTGAATAGGGCAACCGTACGCTCGCCACCATCAGGCTTCGGGATCAGATTCATGATGAAAACAGCGAGAATGGGAGGAAATCTACCCAATCGCAGAACAGCACGCCAAATACCAAACAGGGCAAGGAGAGACGAGTCGGAGAGCAGCGCATGATGACGTGGATGCATAAAGTCCAATCCCACCGACGTACGAGCTTTGTACTTGCGACACATCTGTCTGTACTTGTCCAGGGACGGGTGAGGCAAGGATGCAAGGCAGTCGGGCGGTAACGGCGGAAAATCCAGGGCTCGGCAAGGATCGTCAGGGTGCTCCTGCATGGGCTCCCAGATAGCATGCCAAGCTACTTCTCGCGCCTTGAGATGATGCTGCGGCGTACCGACTGGGGCATCTGGGTTCGGGGAGGTCTTGTCAAAGGAAGCCCGATCCATAGATCCCTTGACGAATCGGTGCGCAGCAGAACCCCCTTCCTGGACCGAACGAATGGCCCATGATGTCCAGGATTGGTACCTCTGCGCCGATGCTGCACGTTCCAGAGCAGATGCAGACTCACCCAAGACGCCCCGCAGCCAGTCTATGGAACCCAGATCTAGGGTATCAAGCCTGTTGGCATAATACCCCCACCACGACCATTCGGGGGGAGGACCACCATCACGCTGCGAAGGACGATACCGGCGCAGGGCCTGGCAGGCTCTCCGATATGCGGGCCACAGCTGCTTGTCAGCAAGATATAGAAGAGTACCAAGACGGTTAGAGAGATACCTCCAGAGCCTCCCTTCGCATGACGAAAGCACAC